CCTTATTCCTCCCAGAGAGCTGGACATTTCATTGATTTTATTTTGCCTAGAAATAAGAAAGACATTTGATTTTCTATGCCTAGGCTTTATGTACAGACAGAGATCTTCAGGAAATGGGAATTCCCTTAGGACCAAGAAAGAAGATACTAAACTACTTCAGGACCAGAAAAAATTCAATGGTACGTGCTTACTATAGCTTGTAGGATTAAACAGGTTTTGACACCCTTGTACCCTTGTGCTTTGTGAAGTGTTTAGGGAGCTGTGCCATTTTTCCTGCTCTTTGGCTCTCTTTTTAGAAATTAAACACATTTCCTTTATTTATATTAAACAAAGTGTAATTAGCTTCAGAAGTCCTATCTCTCTGGACTGCTACCATTCAGTTTTTCCCCTTTTTTTGTTCGTTTTATAACTGCTTTTTTGAAATATAATTCACATCACATACCACTGAAATTCACCCTTTCAAAGCAGATAATTCAGTGGGCTTCAGTATATTCACAGAGCGGTCTAGCCATGACTACTGTGTAATTCCACAGCGCTTCTGTCACCCCAAAAAGAAACGCCGTGTTCACGAGCAGTCACGCTCCATTTCTCCCTCCTGGGACTCACTGATCTGTTTTCTGACTTTATGTATTTTCTTATTCTGGACATTTCACATAAATGGAATCATACAGCGCGTGGCCTTTTTGTGACTGGCTTCTTTCACTTAGCATAGTGATTTCAGGGTTTGTCCATGTCGTTAACAGTGCTTCTGCATTCGGTACTTTTGGCCACTGAATTCCTTTCCAGATCCTAGTAGTGAATTCTTTTCCACCTTTCCGGCAGGTTGCTCTGTTCTTATTTAAGGCCCAGAGGGGCAGACTGCTTGCCCGGGTGAGAAGGGCACAGCGCTCGGGACCCCGCGCTCTGCTGCTGTCCCTCCCAGGACGGCTGCCTGGCGCTTCCGCTGCTGCCCGCGTGCCTGTGTGCGGCTCCCGTCACTTCAGTGCTCACAGGAATGTCACTTCATAATTTAAGGCAACTTCTGTTGCCATCAGCTTTATCTTGTTTTCTGAGAGATTCTTCTTAAGAGTTGTTGGCTATCATTCAAAACCTTCCCAAGCATCCTCTCAAACCAGTAGAAAACTGTGTAATTCTTTGGGTATTTTTACTACATAGCCACTCCACAGAACTATTTTTTACTTCTTTAGGGTATTAATAGACTGACCCTGCAGTCAGCTTCAGGGGCGAACATGTCTAACCTTTCCAAAGAGTCGGAGTTCTGCAGCGGTACTGCTGGAAATGATCAGCATCTGGACGTTGGCATCGGGCAGGTAACAGTACTGATTCTCCTTGGTCATTTTATTGTTTGCCATTGCTATGGTAAGAACACATGGAACGTTTGTTATTGAGAGAAACTTTTTGTTTCCTCTTTCCAGGTGTCTGTAAAATACCCCCGACTCATCTATAAACCGGAAATATTCTTTGCCTTTGGATCTCCCATTGGAATGTTCCTTACTGTCCGAGGACTAAAGAGAATTGACCCCAACTATAAATTTCCAACATGCAAAGGTTTCTTCAATATTTATCACCCTGTAAGCATTCGATAGATCTTGTGGTTTTGCCTGAATTCTTAGGGCTTATTGGTAAAGAGCATATGACAGTCTTTTGTGTTGAATTACTTTTTTCTATATGCTTCTGTACTAATGACACAGTTTATAAGAGCATGAATCTGAAAGTGATGGGGCAGAGCTGTACATTTTAAAAAATGAGCTGATAGTTATTCTTGCCCGGCATGCAGTTCCTGAGCCTGTGGCTGCCTGTCTTCAGGAGAGGTACACGTAGTATTGTTTTTCCTACGTAGTTTGACCCTGTGGCCTATAGGATTGAACCCATGGTGGTCCCGGGAGTGGAGTTTGAGCCAATGCTGATCCCGCACCATAAAGGCAGAAAGCGGATGCACTTAGGTGAGTCGGGAGTGCGGAGCCTGGTAATTCGCCACCTTCTGGCTGGTGCAGCCTGGCTGGACCTCACCTGCTCTGTCTAGCTGCGTTTAGCTGTGTTCCCACATACAACCTTCTTAATTCACGTGTGTTTCAGAACTGAGAGAGGGCCTGACCAGGATGAGCATGGACCTGAAGAACAACCTGCTTGGCTCGCTGCGGATGGCCTGGAAGTCCTTCACCAGAACTCCTTACCCTGCCTTACAGGCTTCAGAAACTGCAGAAGAAACTGAAGCAGAACCTGAGTCAGGTTCAGAGAAGCCTAGTGGTCAGTGACAGTGTACACATGGGTTTCCTGCAGCAGGCCAGATAAGAGGGACTCCCTGGTGGGTGGCTCGTGTTCGCCCAGGGTCTCCTTACTGTCCCCTTCCTGTTGTATGGGACCAATCCTGTGAGTCCTGTTGGGCCTTCGGCTCTGCTGGCATTTTTTATCATCTTATAGCCACAAATTATGGGAAAACATTATTTGTGAGAAAAATGTTGAGAAGCTGAGCATCTAGTAACAAGGCTTTAAAACACTCCCCACTTGGGAGCTACGGGGGTGATGCTAAGAGCTTACACTGTGGGAACCTTGCTTTTACAGGGGACTGTCTGTGTTCATGGGTCAGTTTTATTTCCCTGGGAGGGGACCAGCTAGGATGCTCTCCTCTCCTTTTAATTTTGCAGTTAATACTGCGTCATTTTGCTTTAGTTTTCTACTGCCTGAAGAGTGCTAACCCTGCTTGCTTTAGTTTACAAATCAAAGGTAAATGAATTAGCTATCAGAGGTGCAGGAAAATAAAAAAGGGACTGGATAAAGTCAGTGGGACTTGAGGAGAAGCTTTCAGGGGACTGAGATGAGGGAGGTGGGAGAGAGCTCAGCAGAGAAGCTCATCCTGTGGTAAACGTGGAGTCTGAGGGCAGGTGAGGCTGGAAGCTTTTGGGTTCTTATTATAGTTCCTCCCTATCCAGATGTTAGCACAGAGGAGAGCCCTGCGGCAGGGAAAGAAGACGCCCCCCCCATTAATGTGGGGATGCTGAACGGAGGCCAGCGCATTGACTACGTGCTCCAGGAGAAGCCCATCGAAAGTTTTAATGAGTATTTATTCGCTTTACAAAGCCATCTGTGCTACTGGTAAGTGTCGTTTGTTTTTGTTTCTAGAGGATTTTTTGTTTTAATTGTTTCACAGATACTTGATAGATGTAGAAAAGGACAGGTCAGTGTACATGCGGGATTACAATGATTTCTTACTCAATTAGAAAATAGTCTTGTCATTTAAAGAAATTTGGTGTAAACATGTTTTATTCTGCAGTTGGGTAGAGCATGGGGCCAACGGTGCCAGCAACCATGAGTTCAGTTAGCTTAGCCTTGAAAGTGTGTCCTCTGGCCATTAGTGGGACAGGACAGGTACATACGGATTAGCTGGAACAAAGACGTTCCTGTCACTAAAATTATTTTAAGAAGCTCATTTGAAAGTATTTACAATAGCTAGATCAGACTTGTTTTGTGTTAATGTTTAAATGTTTCTTCCCTAGATTTGAGATATAGTTGACATACAACATTGTGTAATTTTAAGATGTACAAATGTGATGTTTGATACACATATATATTATGAAATGATGATCACAGTATCACGTCACATTATAACCTTTGTGTGTGTGTGGTGAGGGCATTTAAGATCTACTCTCAGCAACTTTCCAGTATATAATACAGTATAGTTAACTATAGTCACCATGCTGTACATTAGATCCCCAGAACTTATTCATCAGAATTAATTATTCATAAATATAATTAATTACCTGATGGATTATGGAATGGACTAATGGTGCTTATTGAAATTCATGATTTATAGCATAACAGAACTTACTCACTGAATAAGTTGAACTAAAGGAAATAAAGCTAGGAAAATAAGTTGGGTCAAGGATAAGTGCTCAAAAAATGGATGCTTTATAGTCCTGCGAGGACTTGAACAAAATTTCTGAGGGGAATTTTTCTATTGACTTCAGATAAAGGGATTATTTGATATAATCAGTATTTTCTCTATGTATAATAAATACAGCAGAGGCCATGACATAAAGTCCATAAAGCAAGTCAATAAAAGCACTTTCTGTAAGGGGCCGAAATAATGCTAAGAATGATCTCTCCTGATGTAACCTGTAGATGTTTGAAAAAGGCGTTCTTTAAAAGTTTGAGTGGGCAATACATTCATGTGGCTCAAACTTCAAAGAAAGACAAATGACGAAAAGCCTCTGTTACATTTTGTTCCTGCTAAGTAGTTCCCTCCCCATACTCAAATAACTGCACCTCCCAAACTGGCTTCCAGGGCTCTGCTTGACGCGGACATAATACAGGTGTGAGGGAGTGGGTTATACTGTTTCTTTCCTTTAACAAACACAGATAGTTTGTTTCAGGAATTGTTCTGTACCGTCCTTTTCCTTTCAGTATGTCTTGGGTTTTTCTGCCTGTCATGTAGAGAGAGTCTCTTCATCCTTTCTAGCAGCGTGGTGTTCCACTGTGAATGTATCATGATTTATTTAGTTCGTTATTACAAAATAATGGTGATAATTCCCAATGCTGTACCATATATCCTGTTGCTTATCCATTTTATACATAGTAGTTTCTCTCTCTTAATCTCATACCCCTATCTTGCCCCTCCCCTGCTCCCTTCCTCCACTGATAACCACTAGCTTGTTCTATCTGTGAGTCTGTTTCTGTTTTGTTATATTCACTAGTTTGTTTTATTTTTAAGATTCTACATATAAGTGATACCATATAGTATTTGCCTTTCTTTGATTTACTTCACTCAGCATAATAATCTCTAGGTCTATCCATGTTGCTGCAAATGGCAGAATTTCATTATTTTTAATGGCTGAGTAGTATTCCATTGTGTATATATGTGTGTGTGTCTCACATCTTTATTCATTTGCCTGTTGATGGACACCTGGGTTGCTTCCATGTCCTGGCTATTGTGAACAGTGCTGCTGTGAACACTGGGGTGCATGTGTCTTTTCAAATTAGTGTTTTCATTTTTCTCAGGTATATACACAGAAGTGGAATTGCTGGCTCATAGAGTAATTCTATTTTTAGTTTTCTGAGGAGCCTCCATACTGTTTTCCATAGTGGCTGTACCAATTTACATTCTCACCAAGGGAAAGGACATGGGTGTACTTTTGGTTTGCTAATATTTTGTTGAGAACTTTTGCATCTCTGTTCATCAAAGATGAAATTTTTTGTAATGTCTCTGTCTAGTTTTGGTTATCAGGGTAATGGTGGCCTTGTAGAATGAATTTGGGAGTATTCCATCCTCTTCAATTTTTTTGGGATAGTTTGAGAAGAATAGGTATTAAATCTTCTTTGAATGTTTGGTAGAATTCCCCTGTGAAGCTATCTGGTCCTGAACTTTTGTTTGCTGGGAGTTTTTAAAATTACAAATTCAGTTTCACTACTAGTGACTGATCTGTTCCAGTTGTTTCTTCTTGATTCAGTCTTGGTGGTTCTTATGTTTCTAGGTGTTTGTTTCCTCTACACTGTCCAGTTTGTTGGCATACAATATTTCATAGTGTTCTTATGATTTTTTTGTATCTGGGGTGTCGGCTGTTTCTCCTTTCTCACCCCTTATTGTGTTTATTTGGGTCCTCTCTCTTTTCTTCTTGGTGAACCTGGTGAAACTTTATCTTTTCAAAAAATTGTCTCTTGGTTTCATTGATCTTTTTTTTTTTTTGGTCCCTGTTTATTTCCTCTCTGATCTTTATTATTTCTTTCCTTCTGCTGACTTTTTTTCCTTTCCAGGGAGTCTGAAGATACAGTATTGCTGGTCCTCAAAGAAATCTACCAAACCCAGGGTATCTTCCTTGATCAGCCTTTACAGTAGAAATGAACCACCCACGGCTGCTTGATGTGAGTTTTCCAGTGTCGTGTACGCAGCATGGTTCATGCATATTAACACTTGAGAAGGAACTGTGGAACCTCCAGCCCTTTATAAATATACTTTTTGTTGCCGTCACCGAGATCTGTGTTACAATTCCTTTTAGAGGGAGCCTGGTTAGAGTTCAGGGGGAGGAAGTACAATGGCCCACTTAGAGACGGGTCAGTGGATTTGTTTTGCTAGCGACTTGGTCCAGTGACCCTCAGAATCTTAACTAGTTCTGAGCGTCTGAGTTATCATGGCAACAGTGACAGCTTTAATAACAGCCCATCGTGGGATTTACACGCTCGGCCTTTTAGATGCGTAACTAGAAAGTGCGTGTGTCAGACTCCGGCGTTCTCTCCGGTCGCCTTCCGGTGCTGACCCCTCTCCCCCTCTCTCCCCTAGACGGACTCTGAGGCGTCCTTCCCCAGAAAGCCCGCCTCTTCGCTGCTGCACTTCTCCTCTCCTCAGCCGCGCCATTGCCTGCATGTTACCTGCCACTTACCACTCCGGGGTCCCTGGAGGAGAACCTTCCTTCCCGGGAGGGTGTGGGCAAGCAAGGGGAGCCCCCGCCGCCTTCCCGCGCTGCTTCACACGGACTCTTGCCATCCTTTCCTCGTAGCTGGGGGTGGTCTGCATCTTTAATTCTTTGATGGTATTTAGGCACCACACGTTACCGCTTAGTACTTGAGATAGTATAAAGTCTGTTTTGAGTTTGATTTGGGTTGGGTAGAAATTTTTTGGGAAATTGCTGCTTATCTTTAGAAAATATTCTTATCTGGAAGCAGACTCTTAAGCTTCAGAAGACATCTGGGGTCTGCTCGTCTCACGGGCGATCTGTGCGTTTGAAGGCCGAGGCTGAGGGACCATGGGAAGACAGGTGGGCAGTCTCTGAGCCAGCTTTTCTTTCCTCCAAGAACTGTATGAAGAAAGACTAAAACTTGTAAAGATTGTTTACTCTCTGCAGCTGACTGATTGCTAGGAATCCCGGAGGCTGTTCATTGTTTTTATAGCTGTTTGAGCTGCTTGCAGTGTCTAAAGTGGACAGTTCAGTTCACATCAGGTGCATCTTTACAAAGCAAAGATATCATATATCCTAGGCCTGCTCTTTTATATCATACTTCACACTGGGAGCCTCTAGCTGGAGTCTGACTTAGGTATTAAGTTGAGGGTAAAGTTATAAAAGCTGATGAAATTACACAGCCTGGACAGACCGCTTAGGTTTTGAATAAAACCTTCTAGCGGAGCACTGATGGTGAAGTAGTTTGTGCAAGTCACCTGCCGCGTCTGTCAGGGCGAAGGTAGCGCGGTGTCCCCTTTAAGAACGCCGCCGCAGTCACCCGCAGTCCCGCATGCCTCCCGCACAGGCTCCCGGCACAGGCAGAGGCGGTGGAGCAGGTCGGTCTGGCTGCGTCCCTGGGGCTGGGAACGGCTGTTGCAGGGTCAGGTGAGGCGGGTGAGGGGAGACCGGCTTTTCCTGAGGCACCTGCTCACCGCTGTGGGGGGCTGTTTTGTCACTGGTCACAGCTTGCTGTTGCCTTTGCTGTTCTCTTTGTGAGCATCCTTCCCAGTCCCCTCAGGTTCCCACAGGCCCCGTGTACACAGTGGCACAGGCAGGCGAGCTGTGTGTCTTGTAACTTTCTTATGAATGTATTATAATGTCCAAAGCCCTGGCGTTTAACATCCACGTAAGCCATCCCTTCGACAGCGGTGGTCTTCATCCCTTTCTGGAGAGACAAGGAAAGGGGGGGTTACTGGCCCCCTAGAGGTAAGGCTGGGGTGTAGGTCGGAGCCTGGCCCTTCCTGGGCCACCGGCGGCTGGACTGATGCCGCCTCAGCCAGCGAGCAGTTTCAGACACGTGGGACACTTTATTCCCTTACTATATAAACTGAGTTGGAAGGGTTACTGAAAATTAAGGAGCATCCAGTATATATTAAAGGGGAAGCTTTCATCAAATTGTCTTCAAATTTAAACTTACTCTTCATATTAACAGAGTAAGTACTATTTAAGAGGGAACCAAAGGACAAGCAAGAGTGAGTTCCTGTAACCAAAGCTGAGCAGCACCCCCTGGAGGGCTGGATGCACCAGTTTGTACGAAGTGTTTCTGTCCTGGGGGGAGGGGCAGGTGACTGTAAAAGAGCTTTACGTCTGTCCACCTGGGGTAGCGTCGTGGCTGCGTATTACAGAGTAAGAAGCTTGGCTTAAAATTCTCCCACTGTTGTTTGCACTACTTCAGCTGGGTCACGTGCGGATTCTTGACCAAGCCTATTCTTAAACTCCAGTAGTACCGTTTTCTACATATTCCCAGCTACAGAACTGGTGTTGCTTATCACACACACGAGACTGTCTGCATGGAAAGAGTAACCGCACTGATTAGCTTTCTCATATTTTGCACTTTTTGAAATGTTTATGTGATTATATTTAAAACTTTAGTAAATCCTGAAATAAACTATATTGACCAGTTTGCCTACTTTGACCTGGCTCATCCATCATCAAGTAAAGACAACCAACTCAATAACTATGTCTCTTCCTCTAAAACAAGTTTAAAAAGTTTTGGCCAAAGAACTAATATTCAGGTTCTTTCCCTTCGACTGGTGTCTTCCCTGTCAAAGGCAGATGGAGCTCAGAATTCTAAAGTTCGGTGAGTCTAAGGTTAGATCCGGAGATGACCGACCCTTCAGTGTTTATACACATCAGCCACTGCAACAGATAATTGAATCACTTACATCCGATGTGGAATCCACTGTTTCACTTTGGAGATATTCCATTTCTCAAAAACAACCTTCACCATTTTGTTTGAATATCACATTTACTGAAGGAGAAAGATACACCGAAAACATGTTCTAGAAAGAGCTGAATTCACCCCCAATTGAATTTCTTTGAAGATGACTCAAGGGGGACTGCAGTGTCATTCCACCTCATTGGCTGGACCAAATCTGGAGGGAGAACCCGAGTTATTTTTGAAAACAATGTCATATCTAAAGTATAATCACAAAGAGAAAGGGAGTCGTAGGTCCTAGAGCATCGGTTCTGATGATGTCCTGTAACTGCTCCAGCCCATTGTGAAGCAGGGACAGGAGAAGGCCCGTGTGTGCCCAGATGACGATGCTGTGGGTCCCCCCCGCCTCAGCCAGCTGGCGGCCACCGCGTGTGGGCAGCTTCTCAGTTGTGCGTGGAGGGAAGGGTGCTCGTGAGGACAGATGATGTAGAGATGGCTGTCAGCTTAGTGCTGAAACCACGCTCCTCACCGCTTTCTTTTTTTTACTGTTTGTTAGTAATTCAACAAATCATTTATGTTCACCGTATTCACAATGGACAGCAGTATTTGGCTGGACCTGGATTAGGTGTGCATAACACAGTGATAAATTAGCCAGAACTGGACATTTTCCTGTTTAAGCCTTGATGGAACTGTCACCAGAGAAAGTAACCAGAAATAAAATAATTCAAGATTATTATCCCTAGATTTTAAGATTTGGGGCTTTGGGAAATGGAAATTAAGTTCTGATAATCAACTCTGGCTTCCAGGACAAAGTGGGGCTAATGAAAAAGGCTTCTTTGTGACAAGATCCTTCCCAGAACAGTATCAAAATCAAATGTAAAAGCAGTAGACCCTAGGATATCAAGCCGATGGACCAGGTTCATCGCTGCTGGGGGCCCACGGAAAGAGCTCGTCCCCAGAACGCGTGGCACCCGGCAGTGAAAGAACCTGGGCTCCTCACAGTAAATCCACGCAGGCCGGCGCGGGACCGCAGCCGCGGGGGCTGTGCCTCACTCGTACCTCTTAGGAAGTAAAAGGTCAGAAAGTCCTGTTCTGGGCGTGGTCACCTGTTCTCCTGGAGGTTGCTCCTGTGTCTAAATATCAAACTGATGAGGGCCACCGGGCCGCTTCTGTGCCGTGGGAAGTGCAGGGCCGTGTCCCAGTGGCCTGTGGCAGTCCGCGTCCGTCAGGGGAGGGAAGTACTGCCGGTAGCAGCCGTAGGCCAGCACCAGGCCCAGTGCGGACCCTGCCAGCACGTCTGCGGGGAGAGGACACGGGCCTTCCGGCAGTCGTGGTGGGCGCCGCCCATCGGGGCGCTGAGCCCTCCAGCCACTCCACTGGTTTGACTGCAGACCGCCCTCAAGTCCACGTTTACGGTTTCTTAGTTGTCACTTAGAGCAGCACTGTCAGCATCAGGCTGTTGTCTGAACCCCGAATCAACAAACATCTTTAATGAAGTAAGTGTAACAAGGCCTTTTCCGAATTCATTTGACTGAATTTTTTAATCCAAAAGAATAACACATTCACTAAATGTTATCCACAGCCCTTCTCACCACTCAGAGGTTCTAGAGGAAGGGCAAACTGTCCAGGAGGTGCTTCTCTACAAAAATTTGGTTTTTCCTTCCAAACAGACCTCCTCAGGGCCTCTGGGCAGTACTGCCAGCTTTTATTTTGAACTGTGAGGTTTTCTGTGCAGATTATTCTGTTATTTAGATGTTTTACTCTATTCATTCAACTTAAATTTCTTTGGTTTAATCACAATTTTGTGATTTCTTGAATTTTACTTTTGTTTCTGAGCAGAAATCTCAGGACAATGACCTTGATTTATTTTAAGACAGTAGTAAATTGAGCTTTGAGGTTGGTTGTAAAAAAAAATTTCCTAGAGAGTTTATTCTGAACTTATGATGCTTCAAAATAATGGGAAAGTTAGGATGTCCCTCCTCGGTAATCTCTTTAAAGATACCGTGTGCTTTCTCATCCTGCATGGAGCTCTGAACGCAGGACAGAACACTTGTGTGTCCACTTGGCAGGTACCTGGGGAGGGTCTCCTTGTGCCCAGGGCTGGGGAGGGATGATGGGAGAAACACGGAGGCGTCCGTGGCCTGGACACCTCGCTTACCTTGCCAGTGATGCTTGTAGTCACAGGTGCGGGACAGGGCAATCACAGCTGCAAAGAGTAGAGGTGACAGAAAGGCACAGAACCTCCAGGATTTCCCTCGGCCTCGTGGTGTGAAGCAGTGTAGCTTCCCTGCCAGGTAGAAGGACGCGAAGGCCAGGCCAGCAAATGCAACTAGAAGAGGGAGAAGTTCTAAGTCAGGTCTTTGAAAGGAAAAGGGGGTCGGGGGCATGAGCAGGTTTTTAGCCCTTTTTGTAACCTCTGGTGTAGATCATCGATTGAGATTATTGATTACAAGACAGAAGGAAACAAGGGAAAATGAAAGACTGTCCCCACAGTGAGTAATAGCTGCCCTGAGAGCAGTTTTTGGAGTACCAGCCACGGGATTCCGGGCAGGTGACTTAACTTCCCGATGCCTTAGTTTCCTCCTGAATAAATGGGAATCATAAAAATCACAGTACCACCTCATTAGCTATTATGTTATCAATAGAGACACGAGTCTAAAATGCTTCCCAAAGCACCTGACACACAGTAACCCTTCAATAAAGGTTAATTATGTTTTTATGACTAGTACGAGATTGCAGGATCTAGGCAAATAATACAGTAACAATGTTCAGATTTCCTAAAGGTGAACTACTTCCTCTGTCCTCGACTATCTACCCTAATAGTCAAGGTTCAAGCTTATTAA